CTGCCACTCTGATATTTTTGGTTTTTTCAGTAAAGAATTTAGCAAATTCATTGCAGGCCCTGGTAGAGTGGAGTTCAGATGCTACAGTTACAGGAAGGTTTGTTAACCTGTCGACCGTGGCAAATAATGGACGAGCATTGTTAATGTTTTTGATGATGATCTCAGAAAAGAAGGATTCCCTTGCATTTGTAAGGTTAAACAATTTCTCTTAATCTCAGATTAAAAGTCATCTTTTCCATAATACATATACTGTTTGCAGTCTCCATCCAATGGTCCAAACGTGATCAGCTTTATACCATCTTCTGGTTTTTGTCTATTCTAAAAGATACCAATCTTTTCCAGTCTCGTTAGGTTGAAAAAAGCAAGATTTCTACATTTGTGGGTATGTCATTCTAAGTAATTTGGAGAGTGCTGTGCAACCTTTATCTCAAAGTGGTTTTATTTCATCACAAGACCAAAAAATATGGGAGTGATTGGCACCCAAGACCTCACACTGCCTCCAGCATGGTTCTAATGAACTGGAGAATGTGTGCCTTTTTTGCATGTGTTTCATGGTGTTTTATTGTCCCTTACTCATGCTGTTTTATTTGCCTTAAAATCCAGAGCTCTGAACTGGGAATTACAATAGACCTTCTGCATGTTCTAGCACTGTTTACTTTGCGGACTTTGGTTATCTGAATTCACAGTTAAAGATGCTAAGAGAAGCTTCCTGAAGTGAGATCTAACTGGGAAAATCAGAATTTTTCCGAGCTGCCCTGAGTTTAGTGTCCAATATGGCCGCCACACCTGTTCAATATTTTTTCAGCAGTCATTTCAGAAAGTGAAACTCATATATTATATAGAATCATTACACATAGAGTGATATATTTCAATCCTCTGTTTCTTGTTATTTTGATGATCTGTGCACAGGTAAAGAAAATCCAAAATGCTGTTACCATTACGACAATAAGACAGTAATGGGGTTCTCTCTATTGTATTGATCCAAACACTAAAGGAACATGTTCTCAAATATAGGTTGTATTGTTATCTGTTTGCCACCACATTAGTAAAATAAAACCATCAGAAATACAGATAAATAGTTTATACCTGAACCTTTCACTGCATTTTATGTGTGGCAGCCACTATGGACACTAAGCTCTGAACTGCTTCACGACCTCCAACTTTCCAAGTTAGAATTATTCTTTACTGGTGTTCTTCTGATCAATGCCTAGGTTTATATTTAATAAGAAAAATGTTGCTCTGAGAACAAGAAAGCAGTCAGTGGATGAGCTTTCCCAGAAACATGCATCCACTTCATCAGGCTTCCTTTTCAAGGTTTTCCGTGAATTATTACCGACTAATACATTTCTGTCTGCAACAATAATATTACTCTAAAAAAAGCAGAAAAAGGTTGGTGACTGCAAAATATATAATCAGGTAAAGCAATAAGCTAGAACTGTTGAGAGGCTTATAGTAATCACATAAGAGGATAAACAAAGATTTATTATTGTAATGAAAAAAATCTGGTAACGGTTTATTATTTATCATATAACACAATGTGAAAGCCTCATAGGTTCAGGGTATTATTTTTTGATTTTTAAAATTATTTTGCTCTTATCACCACCGGAGTTTTTCCTTATCCAAGCTCAACCATCTCAAAGAGTCAGTGCTTTGCAAAAGTATTTACACTGCAAAAACTTTTTTTTCTTCATATTATATCATGTTTAAGCCACAAACTACTTTTTTTGGGGGGGGATTTTGCATAATTGAGAAGTGTAATTAAAATTATAGATGGTTTTTAACATTTTTTACAAAGGAAAATCTGAAAAGTATGGCTTGCATTTGTATTTAATGCCCCTTACTGTAATACTGATAAATACAATCCAGTTCAGTAGTTATCTACAGTGTCCATCTCTGTGTAATTACATTTAAGTATAAATACAATGGTTCTGTGAGGGCCTCAGAAGCTGATTAAAGAACATCATTGTCATGTTTAGCAGTGATGGAGGACCCAAATGTACGCAGGAGGATGGGAGTCTCAGGTCTAAGGATATTTATTGAAAGAAATGCAAAATGAACAGAAAAGCACAATGGAGAGATCAAAAATTGCAGGAGTGATTAGTTTAGAGAAGCTTGAATCCTGGGCAGACGATTACTGGGACCAGGATCAGGTCTAATCAACAGAATGTACTGCAGTGAAGTCAGGACAGGAACTGAAGAACTGACGGGGCTAGAAATTGCTACACTGGAAGATAAATTAACAGGATCATCAGAGAGAAAAAAGAGGATAATAAAACAATCAAAAAATAGGACTCAAGTAAATAACAGGAATGTCAAATTTAAGAATAAACTAAATACAGAAAACCAAAAGTGACAAACAAAACCAAAGTCCCACAGATCACGGTAATTAGTGAGCATTATTCAGAGAAGCAACCAAGAGGCACATGCTAATTTTGGAGGAGCTGCAGAAATCCCCAGCTCAGGTGGAAGAATCTGTTGACAGGACAACTTAGTTGAATACTCCACAAATCTAGACTTTGTAGAAAAATGACAAGAAGAAAGTCATAAAAAAATCCCCAGTTTGACACTAGAGAGGCCCCTGGTCAGATGATATTAGGATTGGACATTTTGGCAAACATGCAGAACACTATATGTGGAAGAAAAAAGGAAAGTTCAAGTTTAATTAATATTTTTTTCAGCGCTCTGTAGTAGTTTTTCAGCCTCCCAGGTCCTGATCCAAAGCAGAGAATCTGCTTCCCAGAGAAGCGCAGATCCCCCCTCCTCTCCTGCACCGTCTCCCCACTAATCTGTGACGCTCGGCGCCCCCTCCCTCCATCTCTCTGGACAAATGTAAGCGCACCAGCTGGACAGACTCTCCGCGGTTTCATTTCTCATGCTTTGACTTTCAGCAAAGTGACATTTTGAACTTAAAATCCCCACTGAATCCATCCATACCGTGGATGAGAGTGCAGGCTTGGAGGAAGAAAAGAGGTTCCAGTCTAGAAAGCGGAAAGAAGGGATCGAAGAGAGCTTTGCGTGGACTTTTTTCTATCCTTGTTTATCATTTTTTAGCGACGCACAGACCGATCAGTGACATGTCAGTGGAAATGTAGACGCAAATGAAGCGCGGCTCAGATCCTGCAGGTCCTGCGCGGTGGTAAAATAAGAGAAAAGGATGAAATCCAGGAGTCAGGATCAGAGTCTGTCTGACTCCAGAGAGCTGGACAGATCCTACGATCCGCTCACAGGTGAGGTTACTCCACCATCATCATCATTAGTTTTGTTTGAGTTAATGCTGTTTGCTGGCCTTGCTTCAGTAACCCTGATTTAATAGCACAGTAAACATCAGCACAGCGTCCAAAGAGCTGCATCATGCTCAGAAATGAACTAAAACATCTGGAAGGATTTCATCTTGATGCTGTTTTATTTTTTCAGCTGGAACCTGAAGAGTAAAACAGCATATAAGTAAAGTAGAGCAATAGTTGATAGATGCAACCATTAGAGGAGAGAGGATGGAAGGTTTGTTGTAAAAGGCTACCTGTAATTACTTAAGAAGAAATGATACATTTGAAGGTCAATCAAGCAAAAAAAATGTTCATTTTTTATTCGTCTGTTAGTGTGTTTTCTTCTCATTAAACTGTCTTCTGCCTTTTTGGAAGAAAACGTTCAAAAAGATATTGACTTCGATCGATCCAGATAGAATCACTTTTTTCATTTGCTGTAAATTATATCTGTATTTTCTCCTCACATAAGGGCAAAAGATCATAAGTTAGAAAATCATAAAATGTGTTCTACTTGACAAAACCCCAAATAAAAACAGACGTGTCTATCGTTGAGCTGGTTTACTATGATTAGTTTGGATTTACATTCTGTTAATGTCCAGTCTATCTGGATGTCAGTATTATGGACATGTGAGCGTTAAGACCTTCTTCAAGCTGCTCTGAATGCTTCAAGAAATTATTATTTAATGCAGCTGTTTTATCTTTAACACCAACGAGGTGAACGGTGCAAAAATATTTACACCCTTTGAGCTTTTCACATCTGTCAGATCACAACCACAAACGTTGACACATTTTATTGGGGTTTTATGTGATCAACACAACGTAGTGCATAAAAGCACAATGAATAAAAATGACACCTGGTTTGAAAATAAAATATGAATTTTGTGGCATATGTTTGGGTTCAATCCCCCTGAGTCAAAACTTTGTAGAATTACTTATTTTTCCTGCAATGACATCGTCTCTGACCAGGTCTCCCGTGCTGCTGAGGAAAACCATCCCCACAGCATGATGCTGCCACCCCTATATTTTAGGATGGGGTGTTCAGAGACTAGTTTTCCACCACACATAACATTTTGCATGTAGGCTAAAACGTTCTTGTCTGGTCTCATCAGTCCAGAGCACACATTTCCACATGTGTACTGTGTTCACCACATGGCTTGTGATAAATGGCAAAAAACGGCTTTCTCGTGACTTTCATTGAGCAATGTATTTCATTTTGGGTCTTAATAAAGGCCAGATTTGTGGAGTGAATGTCTAATAGGTATCCGGTCCAAAAATTCTCCCACCTGAGCTGTGGATCTCTGCGGCTCCTCCAGAGTTACCATGGGCCTCTTCTCTGCAATTTGTATTTGTAAAAAAAGTATAAATTTCCTTCCATTTTACAGTTATGAACTATGTTGTGTTGGTCTATCACATAAAACCCCAATAAAATATATTGATGTTTGTAGTTGTAATGTGACAAAATGTGAAAACATTCAAGGTGTGTAAAAATTTGCTAATATTTCATTGTGTGGTTAATGTGTGGTTCCCCCTGTACAACTAGTAAATTAAATTGTAAAAGAATTATCAGCTGACACTGATGACGGCCAACACTTAATTGCGTCTGTAAACTTTATCATTTCTAAAATCCATCCGTTGATCCCTCTAAGAAGACAGATCAAAACTTCCACTCAAGTTAATTTGCCCTGCTTGGGCACTATGTGGCTCAGTTGGTAGAGCACCATGTGCAGAGGCTATAATCCTCGATGTCGTTGTCCGGTGTTTGATCCCCAGTTTCGGGCTATTTGCTGCATGACTACCTATTCTCTCTTCACCCTCTATCCTGTTGGATTACTGTCCCAATAAAATCTTTTAAAAAAAAGAATCGTTTTCCCTGCTTTGATCTTGGGCATTTTCTTTCCTAAATCAAACATGTGTAATAAGCAACTAGGTTAAAAAATAACTACATTAGGCCAGAGGAATATCGTATTTAAATTTATAACTTAAAGTTAACGTGTCTGTAGAGTATCCTGGGGAAGAAATCAGAGACATAAAAAAAAGAGACTAATCTGTCGGCTGAAGTTATACTTGTCAGCAGGAGCCATTATAGCCTGAGGAGATCAGTATGCTTCCCTTCTTTGTGTGCGCTTTTTCCTACTGTTATTTTCTCCTCTGCGGAGATCACACAGAGATTTCTGCTTTGTAGGGCCACTCTGTCATTCCTCTGACAGATCCCAGAAATAGTTTTTTTATCTGTGAAACAAGCTGGAATAGCATATAAAAATAACCAAGAAGCCAGCCTTAGTGCTGCTCCCATTATGATGTCAGGATCTTTGTAAACTATTTTAGTGATGGAAGATGGTGCTAATCATAGGCAGGGTGCTACATCCACCCAGCTGCAGGTTAACCAAACAAACAAATACTACCAACTCAGGTAAAACTAGCCAATATATTCAAACCAAACACGAAAACATTTTAAATACTAATCACTGTCTCACATTTCCCAATAAAACAAACTGGACGAGGAAACCTAGAACAGCCTGGTGCAGGGGACACGTTAACTGAATATTTTCCATTTTTGACCGTTTTTTCTAAACGGTGATGGAAAAATCTGAAGGCCATTCGCCATTTTGACAAATTGTAATTCACACCACCTGACCACTTGGTGGCAAGTTAGCAAATAAATGAGCTGTTTCCTCCTGCTGAAGCCATTGCTTGCTGGATCAGGATACCCGTCGTTCGACGAGTCCTGCCAAACTCTGATAATTTAAATTGGACAAATGTTCCCTGAGTTCAAAACTTTGACTGAAGAGGCGATTGTAATTCCAGCCTCTAGTGTGGCGGCAGAGCGTGGATTCAGCCTCCAGAACAACATCAAAACAGCCATGAGAAGTTGTCTGTCCGACGCAAAAGTCCAGACCTTCATGACAATAGCCTCTGCAGCAATCCTGCTCCAGACATTTAATTACCCACATACAAGTGCACAATTCAGGTCCATGTGGACCAGGAGGAAGTTGTGATCTGTTCATATTTTAGGTGCAATCGTTTAATTTCATTGTTTATATGTAGTTACTGGGACAACAGTCAGTGGAGAAAAAGTTACATGTAATCATCTGGTTGATGCGGATTCTCTGTTCAGCTTGTTTGGACTGAATATAAATAAAAATAAATGAAAATAAATGCAGTAGAATTTTTACTTATCATTTTAAAACATAAAGTGACGGGTAAAAATAGATTATGACCGGAGTTTTTTTTACTCTGTCAGTCAAAATGACCAAAAACGAAAAAGTTTAGTGCAACCTCCAATACCGTTATACTCTATACTGAGCAGTGGTCGCCACTACATATATTAAATAGTACCGTGTACTTTTCAGTGACATTGTAGTTTTTATATATGCGTTTGTTGTTTGTCGCTGTGTTGGTTTTTTTCTCTCTATTCCTGCAGGTTTCGAAACAGACTTCTAGGGTGTTATCTTGGATTCTCGTTATCCTTCTTCCTCTCCTCTATTCTTATCTCTCTCCATTTCTGTGTTATTTTTTCCCTTTCGTTTCCGTCTCTGTGTCCATTGCATTTGAAATAATCCTGAAATTCTAAGTTTTTTATATATCAAGCAGAGCATTATATCGAAAGCCGTAATGCTCCACTTGTGAAGTAAAATCTGTTGGGCTTCTTTTTTGGCATTCAAACAACAATTACAGTCGCGGCGCTAGTGGTGTAGGGGTTAAGGGCGCGACCATGTGCAGAGGCTATAGTCCTCAATTCGGCTGTCTCGGATTCGAGTCCTGGACCTGGTGACCTTTGCCGATTGTCTCCTCCCCCTCTCTTTGCCCTCTTTCCTGTCTACCCACAGTTGGAAAAATGAAAAAATAAAGGCCTAGTGCCGCAACCCCCCCCCCCCAAAAAAAACAATTCTGAGGACAGGACATGAAAAAAGGTTAACCAAACAATGAACAGGTGTGAGGCTTCAGGTTCAGGAAATGTAAACAAATTGTTGTCTGAACAAATGAAGCCTGAGGGATAAGAGCTATTCATGTTAAAACCAAAGTCCATCTCTCATAGGAACAGAAAGGTGGTCAAAATGATGTCATGGAAAGCTGCATTTGATGGATTTGCTTTTATACAAAAGGAGCACTAACACTTCTAGTGAAAAATTAAGTCTAAAAACCACAAATATTAATCCACTGTCACATGCATGGTGCCCGTTACATGGAGAATAGTGGGTTTGTACATCCTTACTAACGGTTGTAAATTGAAAAATAAAAATGCACCTCAATAATTTCAGTTAACAAAGGAGATCGGTTTCGAGAATACAATCAAACCAGTGTCTTAGTCTGCTCGCTCTGCCCAAGACAGGAACTTACCAGCCTTTTATAGCTCTTTCACAGGCTGAAAATGTAATTCACAATACACAGGAGACAAGGAGATAAAACGGTCCTTGAGCATCAGATGTCTAACCCTGCAGAGAAGAGATGGATCTTCTCTTGGGTAAACAAAACCTCCATATCAGAGGAAGGCCTTGCATTTCAGGCATCTCCAAGTGTGGCATGCTGACCTGGCAAGAGTAGATCTGGTCTAAACTGGACATTTCATGGACATCAAGCTGATTTAGGACAAACACAGGAAAACAGACGATATCCCAATGATATCCAGAAGTGCTGACTCGGCTGTCAGAGACACAACAGGATGGCCTATTAAATTTTTCCACTATCAAGGTGTTCCCTTAGTGTTCTCTATTGGTGATCTTCTCAGTTTATTTCCCGTGTTTCATGGGTTCTGTGTATATTAGCCATTTTTCCTTAGTTGCCCGTGGGTCCCTGCTCCTCACAGCTGTTGTACATCCAACAGTTAGACATGTCCGTACTGTATTCCAGTAATCAACCTCACCAGCATTTAAGCCTCTTAGTCCAGTTGTTCCTTTGTCAGATCCTCCTGTACAGATGAATATTGCTGCAAAGCATCTTCTGTTCATCAAGACCCCAGATAGCACTCTGAAGGTATTTTTTTCCTCTGTTTGGTGCTTATACAGCAGGTAAACAGTTGCTTTTAAAAACAAAAAATGAACTTCCTGCTTAAATTGCAATTTAAACACTGAAAGCTGAAAACCAGCAACAGCTTTAAATGTCAAGTTAAAATGTACTAAACGCTCTAAATGTTAACAAAACCCTAAAACAAAGACTATTCAGAAAGATGTCATAAACATTAGCAAATCCAGTCAAAACCCCCAGACAGCCCCACAAATGTACTTTTTGGGAGCAAAAACATCTTTTTTGTTTTTTGAAAATTAAAGTATTGGTCATAAGATAGGACTGTATGATGTTCTCTCCATACATGCGTGGGTTTTCTCTGGGTACTCCAGCTTCCTCCCAGACTCCAAAAACTTGAGTGTTGGGTTAATTTGTCTCTAAATTTCTCTTAAAGTATGAGTGTGAGTGCGTGTTGTGTTCTGTGTGCCTCTCGCCCAATGACAGCTGGAGAAAAGAGCCAGCCTCCCGTTGGTACATGAGATCCAAATCTATTCTAGCTGAATCATCTCAAACAACTGAAATGAAAAGTTGTACATTTTCTTTTTATCTGTTGTTTGTTTAAGAGTTCATTCATCACTGGGGTCAAAGGTTATAGAGGTCATTTTATTGTTTACTGTTCAGGGAAACACTAAAATGAACATAAATCAACTTAAAATATTGTATAAAAAATAATATTGTAAAAGTATGTGGTTGTAACAGGAGTTATAAGTACTAAGTGGGGATCTGGGTAGCACACTGTGAGGTGATATAATATCAGTGCTGTACATTAAACATGATTAAATAGATGTGACATATAAGTTATAATATATAACTAAAAAAACAAAAAATGGAAAACGCTTACTGTAAAATTATTATTCTAAAACATCAATATAAAAAAATGGATATCATACTGGAGATTATATATAGATATAACAATAGATGGTGTAGACTGTATCAGTGGATTAACTACATATGTACAATTACAGATAGTGTAAACTAATTTTGACATGAAAAATAAACCATAGGTAAAAATATATCATAATGTAAAAATTCTTTAGATACTCTAGACTGAATATACATGAAGGAAGGATTTAATGAGGTAAATTTCTTCCATTGTCATTTAAAATATGATGGTTTTATGTTTGATTATTATTTTGTTTGCTTTAGAACATTGGTATGTTTAAAATAAACATTTAATTCATTAAAATGTTATAACTGAGTGGGCTGTGGGAGTCAACTACCTATTTCTCTACCTATTTCTCTCTATGATATACAGTATGTGGTGGAAAAATAACAAAAGAATTCAATAATCTTAAAATCTTTTTAAAATTGGTTAATGCATCTCAGTAATTAACAATATCATTCAAAAGTTCATTTATTTCAGCAATTTAGTTGAAAAATTGAAACAATGGTTGATTTTTTCTTTGTTGTAAAAATGCTTCCTGGCAATAGATCTTGTACCATTTGAAAGTCTTTTTTATTCCCTCTAAATAGAGACGCATTCGTAAGGAAAATGCTTACATTGGCTCAGCAGCAGAGTTGTGGAATGCACCCATAAAAAACTTTCCAAATACTCTCTCTTCTGCCAACGCCAAAAAGCTAATTTTGCTGTTAATTATTGTTTGGTGTCTTTTATTGCACTGGATTATTCAAGTATGAAGAAACAATGAATATGTATAAAGACATATTGGCAACTAGTTTATTAATCTAACAAACAGGGAACTCAGCAGTGCATGTCATAACTGTGCACAACCACAACAGCCCTCCTCCTCACGCTGGTCACCAGCTTGGTCTCACAC